TTCTGCTCTTCTTTCCGTACAATGGAATGTTCAGATGGCAGGTAAAAGGTCATCTAAGTATTTGAATAATTATATGACTAACCTTTATATTTTGAGATTTTTTAATGTTCAAACTATAACTTCCAAAGGTATTAGAGCTAAACAGGTTGAGTAGATCATGCCTGAAATGGATGTGCGTTGATGCTTTTGCTAACATTGGTGTGGATAATAGAGTTTATTTTTTTGGTTTGACATTTTATCTTCTAAAATTGGGTGAGAAATAGATTACTTAGTAGAATATTTTTTTTTCCAGAAAACAGTTTTTAAAACCAAAAAGAGAGGGAAAACAAACATCGAATGTTTCCAACATGCTTCAGACTTCTCCTGTAATTGATGACACCAACAGAAAAATTTCAGGCAAGTTTTCCTACAAGACCACCACCACAGATCTACTAGTCCCCAAAATCTCTGGATCACCAAAGTGAAGATACACTCCCATACACTATTCTTAGGAACACATAGTTCTTCCATGCATCGCCAATCACCATCCTTAGCTGCATGTGGGCGAATCATAAACCTTCCCTCTGTAGAATATATAAAAATATCACATCATAGAGAATCTTAAATTATCCATTAGGATTAGTTCCCCTATTTCGAAATACCACTCAGGATTGATTGCCATGTTTATTTGTCTTATAATTTGTATTCATACTTAATTAGGACAAAATGATTAGTATAAACAAGAGTTGGTGCTATAAGTTTTGTATGCACATCAACACAGACTTTCACCTTCTCTCCATTCTCTCTCCAGTATCTAAAACTTCATCATTTCAACAGCCTTGAAACTCAGACTTTCACCTTGTTCTAAAGGATAGCGTAGCAGCAAGCCCAAAGATTGCTCTAGCTCTTCATATAATTACTATTGCCAACAGTTAGTGAGGAGAAAAAAAAGAGTGACAGCGAAAATAATGCCTGGTGGGAATCCTGAGGAGAAGTCTAAAATAAATAGGTTATATGTTGGATGGAAAAGGTAGTATTTTAAATAATAATATATAATGTTCTACAGCTTTTGGACCTTGGTTTTAAGAAAGGGTCCATGCTTTTCGGCAGTATCAATTGCAACGTGAGAGAAAATTCATTCTACAGAAACGGAGTTATAAATAACTCAAGACAAAACCAACCAGCAAAATCTATTTCTACCCCTTTCTCTCTATGCAATTCAATCTCTCGGTGAAGTTAGAAACTAAAGATGCCACCTGTGACAACTGACCTTCATACTCAGGTAAGCTTCTAGTGAAGGGGCACACAAGGATAAAAAGCTAATAAAGCACTTAAATTAGCAAGAATTTATCACATGAAAGCTTCATTGCCTGTGAAGTCTCTAAGGGCGAGTTACATAAACAAATTAATTAAGCATTTATTCAATAAGTTATCAAACAAAGACTATTCTCAAGCATAACTATGAAGATTAAACAAAGCCTCTCTACATATTGAAATAAGATTAAAAAACAGATAGCAACCATAAAATAGCATGAGAAGAAAATTGGTAATTGAAAGAAGAGAAAGGAACCTGATCAATGACGGCGTCGGTGATCAAATCAGCAGCTACTTCCTTGGATTCAGAGATAACAGCGAGGTCATCAGCAACCCACTTCCTGGAAGTGAGAGGGGAGAGAACACTGCCGAACCTCTGCAAATCCCTCACATCCTTGTGCATGGCCTTGGCAGCCTTCTTCTTGGCCATTGCGAAAACCACATGATCCATGGCGTCATCGTTCATGTACACTTCGAACGCGATCTCGTCCCTGCAGGGCACGATCATGTTATAGATCCTCGCGATGAGATCGTGCCTGCTTTTCAACTCGAGCGTCGCCAACAGCCCCTGGCAGTACCTTCTCCCGCTCGCGTAGAACTTGAACGTCGTCTGCCCCTCCTTCAGCAGCAAGGGCGCATCGTCGCCGCCGTCACCGATCCCTAGAAGGCTGAAATTCTTCTCGAAGATAGAATCCTTGGCAGCGAACTGCGCAGCCCAGGAGAGCGCGATGTTCTCGTTCTCGCGCTTGCCGGTGAAGTAATTGATGGCGAACATGATGAGAAAGGATCCGCAGAGGATCTCCACGGTGAAAGAGCGGGGAGAATTAGGGATAGGAGGGGTTTGGGTGGCGGTGGAGTTTTCAGTGGATTTGGGATCGGAGGGAGGTTCGGGGGCGGGGTGTTCGACGGGAACGCCCTCGAATTCGTCGTCGTCCCAAAAATCGAAGGTGGTGGTGGTGGTGGCGGGAGGGGACTTAGGGAGATCGGAGGGTGGTGGTTGGGGAGTTGGATCGGTGGCGAGAGGGGTGGGGTCGGAGAGGGGCGGTGATCGGAGAGATGCGGGATCGATGGAAGCGTCTTCGATTTCATCGTCGTCTTCGGCTTCGAAACCTTCGAAATGAGAATCGGCGTACGCAAAGACGACGAATAGCGAGTGAACGCAGAGAAGAGCGAGAAAGAGACATGAGAGAGTTGGATTTGCCATTGACAGATTGTGTGAGCTCTGTTGTCTTCTCAAAAGCTCAGATGCAATGCAACCCAACAATATATCTTAATTACTAATTACTAGTATTATCAGTTGATATTTCTACAGCAATTATAATAAATATTATCTTATCTCAACAAAATAATTATAATTTCTTAAGAAAAACAATGACTAATATAATATATACTAATTTCATTTATATACTTTAGAAAGAAATTGGTAATTGTGAGCGTTAATTATGTAATTTTTAATTCACCCTTATTAATAATTATGTTATATAATGTAAATATTTAATTATGGAATGTGCTTTATGAGATATCTAAATTTCTAACTATAATTTGAATCACCTACATAATATATCGCGTGAAAAAAAATATCAATATATTTTATTCGGTCAATTTTTTTAATTAATATAAAATCTTTAAATATTCTCTCATATTTTAATCATATTTATATCTTATAATTTTATTTTAATTTTATCAATTTAAAATATATAATTTATTTTTCCATTACATATTTTCCATGTCAACCAAAATGTGATTTCCATTATAACGATTTGGATGCTTACTTAACAATAGAAACATATTAAGCAGTGATTTGATATGTTTGAATATATATATTGTGGTATCATTAATACAAATATTTAAAAATTTTATTAACATATTTTAATAATTAAAATATTAGTTTCTTGTTTGAATTTTCATTGTGTTGTCTTTTATCGATTATAATTGTATTTTGACAGGGAAGGGAAAATATCGTATGTATAGTATACAGAGGAACATCAATAGATATTCTATAAATATTTTTTAAAAAACTATCTTTCTATATTTTCACACGTTATATTAAAGAAATTGATGTATTTTTTATTTTTTATTTTTTTGCATTTTGGGTGTTACAGTTTAAAATTTCAATAATTAAATTTTTAAAGATGAGAACCAATACTAAGTTACCTGGATATAATTTTAAACACTGAAATGACATGATGTGATTATAATAAGTGGTGGACATGATTTTTGAGTGGATTTTTTTAGTTTTGATAAAGGAAGGAACTTAAGTGAAAGTTTTTTCTTAGTGCTAAATTCATCATTATAAATAAAATATATATAAACTTTATAATTTAGTTATTTATCATGAAAAAGTGAAAACTATTCGTATTATATAACTCAAATAAATACATAAAAATAATTTTAATAATATTGTTTGCAGAAAAAACATTAAATATATATATTATACTTACATATAAAGATTATTTTGTATCCATGTTTCCTTTCCAATTTTATCTTTTGAATAAAAATTATTTAAAATTAAAATAATTACATTATTAATGTTATCTTTTAAATGATTATTTTTAAATTTAATATTTTTTATTTAATTTTTTTAATCTTAATCATTTTATTAATTTCTAAAACAAATTGTTGTTTTAATACATTTGTTACTAATGATAGTTTGTTATTCTCGTGAAAAGAAAAAGATTTATGATAAATTATTACGTTTAAAAAAATATAAATGATTTATCCTATTGGAGATGAAAGGATAAGATAGTTTAAATTGAATTATTTAAATGAATATATAAGTTAAAAAATATAACTCTGAAGCATAAATATATTTTGTCTGATATAATTTATCCTCAGTAAATCAGATATTTGTTTTTAATACGTCTAATTTATAACTTAAAATTATAGAAATTTTTAATTACAATTACTGCGACATCAAGGTGATTTATTATACTGTGTTATTAGAATATTCATCCATAACATTTACGAAAGCCCAAATCTAATCACCTTAATTATGCTTTATAGCATGATTTAACTGAAATCCATCCACAAAATTCAATACTTTACGAATGCATAATGAAAAATAATATTTATCCACAAACTAATATACTCATTCAAACCAGCTCAATCCAAATCAAATTATGAAAAATACTGTCGAAAATAAGTAGAAGAAAAGAAAAGGATGATTCAAATTCATAATTTGCAGAAAGATTCTTTTATCATTAAAGTGAAGATAATTTGTTTTAAAGAATTATATAGAAATTCTTCTAAGTTTACATGTTCTTCTGAGCAATTGATAACAGTTCATATTTTCATGCATTAAAACTAAATTCAGAAATAACCGTGAAGAAGATGGATCGGAAGATGTACAGAATTTAAAAAATTTATAAAAATTATTTTCTTAAGAAAATTTAAAGTATTTTATCAAAAACTCTTTCATTTAATTTAAAATATTAATAAAAACTGCTGTAAAGAATGTGTTGTGAAGCAAAGAAGAACAGAAAATCTTTGAATGCAGCATCTGTTCATGAATTACTTACATATAGAGCTAAAAGCTGATTCGGTTACTTGAAAGATTGGACTAATGATTCAAAATCATCCATTCACCAACCCTACAAAAGCAGCAAGACTTAAAAACCAAAGCTTTAATTTTAAGGAGACTATGGAGAAGAAGAAAAATACGATTTTTCTGACATCAAAGTTAGTTTGTTGGTTGTTAGTTTGGCGGTCATGTTCAAGAACAACGACACATTACATTGTATATCTGTCTTAGGCTTAAAAAAACGACATAAGATGATCGATGTCTTTCTTATGCACTATGTCTCTCTTCTCAGCTAATTCCAATATCCATAAACATTGAAGTGGAAGCAAAGAAACAAGAAAATGGACCCAACCGATCATCCTCAAATATTTCTTACACCCTCTCATTCCAATCCATCATCCAACAATGGATTCCGATTTCAGCTCCACCGTCGACACCTCTCGTCCCTTCACCTCCGTCAAAGAAGCCGTCGCCATATTCGGCGAACGCCTTCTCCTCGGGGAACTATACTCTCCAAAGCCCTTCTCATCAGGCACTTCGGTGAACAGACCGTCTCCATCACCGTCGCCATCACCACCGCCGACGAAAACTCACCAAGACAGTGGCGAGCTCGTTGACGTGATAAGGAAGCTGGAGGCAGAGCTCGAGAAAACGAAGGCGGAGCTGAAGCTGCTCAAAGAAAGAGGCACCGAAACCGAGGTTGCGCTGGCAACGCTCAACGCGCAGCTTCATAAAAACATGTCCAAGTTGGCTCAGGCCGAGGCCGCCGCCGCCGGGAAGGCCGCTGCGGCGACGCCGACCAAGACGGTGCGGTTTGAGATCAGCGAAGATGAGAAAAACAAAAGGGAGTTGGCGAGGAAGAAGGAAGAGTCGCGAAGCTTGGGTCACATTCTGAGTCTTGGAGAAAACGACCATCTTTTTGGAACCAGAAAAACGAGGAAACACAAACCTATTATCCCTCTTGTCGGGGATTTCCTTTTCAGGAGAAAATCATCTTCCACTACTCATCATCACAATCCTCTTTATGCTTCTCCTTTTTAATCTATGTTTTATTTCTTCATCATTCTTAATTTCTACTCACTCTGTTATGCCTGTGACTTTGTCTTTTTCTTCTTTTTTCGATTGTTCTTGTCTTTTGTGTTTGTAAAAATTGAACTGGTAATATGTATCCACGTAAAGTTAATAGTTCTCACACCAAATGTGATGTGATACATTTTCTCTGGATTTGTCTACGACACTGATTATAAAGAGTTTGGTTAATTTGATTAATGTTGATTATTAAATTTAAACAAGATTTTATGATATTTCTTTATTATATTTGAAAACGTGTTTTGAAAAGAAAAGAGCCATTTATTCCATAACAGAGAGAAATATTTGGGGAAGAAAGAAGAGAAATCAAAGGTTGAAGAAGAAAGAAAAAATTGTTTTGTGCAGAAGAATAAAATAAAGGTCGAAAAATTGTGAAGAAGAAGAAGAGACTGACCACAAGGATGCAAGTTGTGGTGCTGAATACTCAATCCTGCTGCAGAGCCCCACAACTTCCTTTGTCTTCTCGTTCCTTCCTATTAAAAAAGGTTCTTTTTTTATTTTATCCTGTTTCTGGGATTATTATTTTGGAATAACCCTCTTATTTTCTAATCTCATCTTGCAATTCTTTCTTCGCAGGGAACCAGGTTTTTCGGTGGCCATGCTTCTTTCAGGAGTAAGGGCAAAGTTTTTCCTTCTTCTGTTCGGATTCATTTACGGCGCTCTACACGTAGCCTTGGTTAGTCTCTTTGAAAGTCTGTACTTTTTCTGGATTCTTCTTTCAATTGAATTTATCAGATTCAAAGCTATATACCTGCATGGATTACAATTGTTGTCTTTTTTAATTTCAACATAATACCCAAACGCTGCTCTATGCAAACGTATTTTTAATCTTAGTAAGTTGAAAATGTAATCTATTTTGAAAAAATGAAAATACAAACTATTTTCTTGCCATTTAGTTTGTCAGCATTGCTTTCTTTAATTTCAAATTCAGTTTCAGATTCTTTGTTTGTATGACAATTGGGGAACCGAATCTCATGTTAATTTTATCCTCGTACAGCAGTAAAGTGTGTTTCTACTCCGAATTCAGCAGTGGAAGCTTTTTGACAACCTTACACAAAACAAAGACAAGGTTTTTGCATAAAAACATCTTCGATTCACTCTCTGTTCACATGATTTGTTCTTCCTTGTACTCTTAGAACATCCTCATTTTCAATAGAAATCAATTCTCTAACACTCCCCTCTTCTCGTATGTCCATTCTGCTGAAGGACTCTCCCAGTGGAGCTCCTCAACAACACAACAAGGTTTTCCACCTTTTATTACTTCATTAAGAATTCTTTGTTATTAATGTTATAATTGTTATTTGATCCAGACATGCTCTTAGTTGCCCATATTTAGTACAAGCCTATATGCTTTTGTCTTGCATTTTCCTGTGTGCTGTTTTAATGGGGACCAAATTCATCTGTGTCAACTGCTCTTTGAATTTGAGTATAATTTTTAAGTATTCTCACTCTTAACCAATTAAAATTTATAATGGGTATTTGTTTAGGAAATTGTTGTAAAAATCAACAAATCTATTGTACATACCCGCTTCTGATATTAAAAGACCCATCTTTATATGAACTATTTACTCTTGAATTTATAAAATCTTTTCAGTTTTATTTATATGCTCAAGTCAACCAATTAAGAATCCCTTTATGTATGGCTTTTAAATTAATTTTTATAAAAGTCAGTTATGTAGAAAGCTATAATTGGATGAGAGACCTTTTAGATTTTCCAGTATTTTATATATTTTGGGATGCATGTTGAACAGATAATCTGGAGGAGGAATGAAAAAGGAGCTTTTGATGGTATGTACAGCAGTGTAGATAGGTCTTCATTGGTTCAAAACAGTAGGAAAAGAATATTTCCTCAAACTGATGGGGTTTTTTCATGATACCAAAGTTGACGTTTATATGCCAAAACAGACATCTTTGTGTGTTTTGATACAAAAGTATCTCAAGAAACACAATAGAAGGAACCAGATATTTTGGAACTACTAACTAATCGATGGCAATGTCGTGTGGACTTACACGAAATCATTGTACTCACATATCTAAAAATAAGGAATCCACTTCTCATAATTAATTATATTCTATTTTTTTTAATTTTAATCATTAATTAAATAAAATTTCTATTCATTTATACATTTCAAATTCATTATTGTCTACTTAACTTGTGTACCATTTTATTAAAAAAATAATACTATAAAAGAAGACCGAAATGAAAACAACTCATTTGAAACATTTTTTTTTTTCATTTTTTTGTTAAAATGAAAGATTTTACAAAATTATTTACAACCAAAATTAAAGTAATTCCAAAATATACATTTATTTTATGAACCATTATGAGTTTTCTAACTACATGTACTTAATATATTTTTTTCACTTATTAATAACTTTTACTACCTATTCTTAATAAAAAAAAATATGACTAAAACAATATTTTTCAATATTTATATAATCATGTCTAAAATATATATTCATCTTATAAATTATTTTCGTTTTTTTAATTCATCAATACAAATTTATCTTCTAAAATTTTACAAAACACTACCAATATTACTATATTACGTTTTCCATCTTAAAATATTATATTTCTTTATTTAAAAATTTTATTTTTAATTTAAAAAGAAAAAGAAAAAATCAACTTAGAATTCGATTTTCTAAGGACCGAATTTCCGTTGGTTTTCTGACGAACTCCTGAATACCGAATTCTGTCTACTCCTTTCCTCCATTGTTAGTGTTTTGTGTCTGTAAAAACTTAACAACTTGCTTTATTTTATTATTATTGATTATTAAATTCAAACAAACGTGCTTTAAA